ATTTTATTTTATTTTATTTTTTTTTTGTGGATTTTGCGGCACGATTCCCTCGTGTCGTGCTGCTCGAACAGATTGATCTTCGGTTCACGAATTGCTGAATAACATGAGTGTCAATCTGCTTATCGAGTGTATTGTGGTTGTGTTAAGAGCGCTACTTCAAACACGCTCCTCCATCTGCCTTGGCAGGGATTTGCTGAAGCTCGTTTCAGCACGTTTGAACATTTATTTATCAAAACGAGCGCAACAAACCACCGGGATAATCAGCCTTTTAAATAAAAGTAAGAAAGTCAAGAATTTCTGAAGTATTTTTAAAGGGCACCAATACGGCTACTGCATAAAATTTTGATATAACTGTAATAATCTAAGCTGAATAAAATACTTACACTTTGATGTATGAACCGTAACTATAAGAACTATAAAATACCTAAAACACCCATACATATATCTACATAAATATGCATATTATGCACAGCCATTTTGTGTGTGTTTCTTCCTTTTCAGGTATTGTTAAAAAAATGATTAAGTCATATTATTCCACAGTTTAACCAGTCATAAGTTAATGTCCTMTTTAGTTGATGTAGTAAAAATGTTCCTGAAGCGTGAGTCTTCCCTACAGCAGGTGAAATATMAGCCAGAGCAGCAAAGATGAGATATACTGTAAGATGGCAATTTTCCGCCCAGAGCCCTGTAGATAAATAAAAACGTGTGGTTATTACATCTCGCAGACAGATATAAAGTAGTGTGCCGCCTGTTTAATGTGGAAATGTGTCCTCCTCTTCTAGTGGAAAAAAAGGGTTGTCAAACAGAAAATATAATGAACTTGTTTTTGAAATAGAATCAATGGTGCTTAACAAAGTCTGCCACAAAAAAAAAAAAAAAAACACCAGGGGACAGTGTGTTACTTAAAAAAAGGCTACATAGAAAAAAATATGAGCAGGAACAAGAGAAAAAGAGCACAGGCAATTTATCCTTCGAATAAAGTGCTGRTGCACTGAAATAATTAGCTTGAAATCTAAAACCTAATGGGACAAAAGCACAAGCTCGTTTATTTGCATGTTCCTTTCTTTAAAATAAACCATGTACAAAAGTTGAGAGCTAGTCCCTTSTGCACAACAAAGGTGTCAGCTTCATCCATACCTGCTAGTTTTGTGCAGTTGATGGAAAAACTGAAAATTAAGGACAAAACAAAAGCTCCGTCTCCATAAAATTTCAGAATCTTAAATGGGGAAAAACACACAAGAGTGTTGAAAAAAATCACCAGGCAATAAAGTAAACTTGAATCCATCATTTTAGAAAATAACATATCAGACAWAACATTATGAGATTTTCACAATCTCCTCAGGTTATGCAGAAAAAACAGAGAGCCAGGKTGAAAACCATAGATCTACAACAAAACCTCTGCCTGAATGGTTATGATTTATACACTGTAGATTTAGATTTAAGCTGTTTCAAGACAGCAGTGATTGCCTCATTAACCATTATTGTTGGGCATCTTCAAATCCTTTCTACTGAACCCAGCTTCAGAAAGGCTGGAATTCCCCTCATGCAAATTCAGCTACACTGATGATTGGACAGCTCTTTAGCCCAGATGTTGTTCCAAAATACTTTAAGCTTGAAGTATTTYTAGGGGTGAAAAGTCAAAAAGCAAATCTCTTAAACATTCAGTTTGGCAGCTCCCTAAAGAGACGTCTGGAAAATGACAATGTCAGCCAAGCTGTGGAAAGCCGAAATTCCTCTGGAGAATTCAGAAAGAGCTTTCCTTCCAGCGCTTTCAGCTGTGAGAGTGCATCTCACACCGGCGCCCTCTCAAACCACACCTGCACCTGTTCCACTACATTTATAATTCAGAGTACCACTGATAGGTTTTGCACCCAGTTGGAGTCTGATTGGTTTYCAGTAATTGCTCAAAACGCTCATTAAAAAGGAAAATAATACGGCAATAATGTGAAAGCAGCTCCGCAAACCAGCTGCAGCACAAAGGCTGGTACCAATTATTGACAGGAAGCAGGTGTTTCATGATCAGTCTCTGTGCCCCCCCCCACCC